ACAGGGCGGATATGGGTCATGCACATATAGATTTATGTGCTTCAAGTCACGAGAAAATCATGATCATGGACAGAGACCAATTTGATTGGAGACAGCATGTGAGAGCCAACTAAGCACATTCATTGGCCGAAAGCAGCGAACTACAATTAACGAAAATAAGCACACTGTCAGGTCTGCTGTGCACAATCGGATGGAGTGCCAGTGCATAGATCATTCAACAATGCAAAAGTATGCATGATACCATCTCCCTCCTCCTCCTCCTCCTTCAGAATCTTCTACTTCTTCTTCTTCTCCTGTTCCTCCTGCTTCTTCTTCTTCTTCTTCTTCTTCCTCCTCTTGTCGCGCCTCGCTCTGCATCTCTTCTTCTTTGTCTCGATCGGCGATGGATGGCATTTTTCAGATGTCCACCAGTAAGCCGTCCCAAAAAAAAAAAAAAAAAAAAAAAAAAAAAGTCGTCCCAGATCAACGAACTACCCAGCTTTGCAGCAACAATGTGACAGGATCATCACGCAGCAGATTCCACGAAGGGCCATCCAGATGTCCACCTGTAAGTCGTCCCAGACCAACGAACTGCCCATGTGGCATACCATAGCTTAGCAACCGTTCACAGTGTAATATGCATAGACAATCCTCAGGATGAAAACGCAAACAATTGGGATCAAGGACTCTTACGAGTATAGGCAGGTCAGTCTCAACGAGAACATGAGACACAAGATGTCTAAGCAGCGATCGCAGAAGGCCGCGTTCTTGGACATGTGGGAGGCATGGGAGAATGAAGGAAGGTCGGTGGCCATTCAAGAGAACCCTTCCGGCAAAGAGGCCGAAAAACAAAAGTTATTCGATTTCCAAAAGCTGATTTTGGGAAAGAGTCCGAACRGAGCTCACTGGACGTTGGCACAAAAAGATTCGTCGCTCGCCGACAAGGARTATGTCGCTGCAGTTGGCAATGCATTGAGGCAGTGGATGCCGCTCGTGACGACCGGTGACGACGCTTTCCGCAAAGCCATGGAATTCTACGCGAAATGGGCGGAGGRGAAGTTGTTGGGCGGCGAYGGCAAGACTCCATTGTCGAGGCCGGACAAATACATGCCAGACAAATCTCCGGGTCTGCAAGCAATTCCGGAAATGGGCTCGAAAGGGGCGGCTGGTGAAACGAAGATGGGGTGGCTGGTCCGGGTCCCACCGCCTCCGACCAAAAAGAAAATGCAAGAGGACGACAAGTTTTTCGTGGTCGTGAAGGAGTCAGGCATGTTCTGTTGGCAGTGTCTCGCCGACATGACCGAGGCCGAGAAACTGTCGATCCTTGACGACATTCTCGCGCTAAGGGGAGTGTTCGTACCCTTGATGTCGTCCACAGTTTCACRACTTAGACTGCGGTGGTTGTAATATCTTTCCCAAGTCGAGATCTCGCAGACCTTCCTGGGGTCGATGAGCAGTTGGACGGGGAGCTCCTTCTCCACGATTTCTTCGACATCGTTCCGCTCCTATTCGAGCCAGAACGCTGCCGCTTCGTCGTACTCCTTACCGACAGGCCCTTCGCCACCGCTCGCCRCCTCAGCAGTCTTCCGCCTTCGAGTTTTCTTCTCGCCATCGCCTTCTTCAGCTGCCACTTTCCGTTTCGATTTCCCCGAAGATTCTCTCGCGGCCGCAGCGCCTGGATCAGCCGAATCTCCTCCACCCGCGGCTTGTCCTTCGCGGATGGTCAAACCGCCGAGCCTCCTCGCTTTCTTACTTGTCGTCCCACCCTCTTCCTTCGTCGGTTTCTTTCTCGAGGCACGTTCTCCGTCGYCACCTCCATCCCCGCCCATCACCGCCTGCGGTTTTCCTYTCATCCTCTTCATGCGGAGGGTTCCTTCCGCCACCTCCTCTCGCACCATCCTCTGTCGCTCGCTCTTCTTCTCCGAAGGAGTCTACTCCCTGCCAGAGCTTTCGCGGACAGCGCCCATCCCTCCAGCCTCATTCCCTCCAACATCTAGCCCCGATCTGCTTGAATCTCTTTTCGTCTCATCTCGAAGCGAATACGTGTCGGCGCCGCAGCGGACCTTGATAAGTTTCGGAGTACCGACCCRTTGAGTCCCTGTACCYTGAGAATGCAAGTCCGAMGTGTTCCTAGGAGCATCCGGGCCGACCTGCGTGTGAACGCTGCGTCCCTTGACCCGACCCTGAGCGTCTTGAATCGGACTCCCGCGCCCCACTGCCGTACCTGGAGTTTCTTGAGCCAAGCCGGACGACCCGTCACGGGTTGGCAGAAGCCGGAAAACATGCTCTGGCGGAAGAACCAGACGTTCTTTGGGCACTATCAGCGCGAGATCGAGATATTGCTCTGGTGATGGAAGACGCTTGTTGCCGCCATCGTAAAGGTCTTTGAAGTGAGAGCACAACGGCATGTTCGAGCCGTACCCCGCGAAACTCTTGATGGTCACCAACACACCTTKAACACCTCTGATAGGCAGTCTGCACTCGTCGTACAAGCCATTAGTGTTCAGCTTGAGCAAACCTCCAGGAGTCTTCGCGTACGAGACGACGGTACCGAGAGGAACAAYGTTGACCGCTCCCTTAATGTCTGTAACGCAAGTGGGTCGCATGAAAACAGCTGGCCCAAAAAGGTCCCCCTTAACAACGAAGTCCAAAAACCATTGTGCTCCCTTTGCGTGCATATACGGAGGAGTAGGTTGCTGTACAAGTCGTCCCTCCCCGGGGGCAGATGGTCCACACTTGTGGATGTGTTTTTTGCGGACGCCATTGTATTCCYACCCGTTGACTAGCACGCCCAACCTCAGACCAACTSGGATGACTAATACGCCCAACCCCAGACCACTACAGAAGCGAAGTGTGAACTAGCTCGGACTTAACGAAATGGAGGACGAAAAGGACGTAAGAGATGGGTGTTCGAAATGCACACAAAGTCACAA